CTCAAAATGTTTCCTATCTGAGAAAGGAAACACCTGACCTATGGTGGAGGAGGAGAGCAGGGGCTCCCCCACTCTTACCACCCCCGAGGAACTACCGTGTTGCTGGGGGCACTGAGCCTGCTCTCGGCCCACAGTGTTGACCAGGCTTAATTTGATACCCCTGTTTAGGGAAAGAAGGAAATCAGAAATTGGAGACAGAGCTGAGTGGTGAGAATCTGATCCACAGGGCAGCCTGGAAGGGCTTTTCCTAAGGAGGAGGAAAAGGGAGGCACGGGAGTGGGGAGAGTGGAGGTGGGGCACTGCCCCGAGGATCAGAGCAGTCTTCTTCTGGCTGAAGATGGCCAGGCTCAGTTTTTCAGGCTCTTGCCATCCGGACAGCCCAAGTCTGCAGAGGGCAGGTACTTTTAGGCGAGTCTCCCAAAATCATGGTCTGAGAAGGCTTAGGTTTTCTTTTCCTGTTTAAAAACTGATGTGGCCATGCCAGGCAGCAGGAGGCCGGCTCCCTGGGAGATGGAGCGGGTGAGTAAATGGGTCCGGCATGGGGAGCACCGTTCTCAAGGCAGGGCACAGGGGGCACTAAGACCCGAAGGCACTCAGCATCACTCGGCGCTTCCTCCCCTCAGCCACCTCAGGGCCCGAAACTTAGGCACCACTGCTGTGTGGGAACCCTTTTCCTTCTAGGACTCGCTTCATGTTTGGGGCAGTTCCTATCTACCTGCTTCAGGCCTGAGTCAAGCCACCAGGGTGTCCCCAAACCTACCATTTTCTTTTATCTCCCTTTGCTCACTCCCAAAGTATTTCTGCAATTAGGAGGTGTGGCTTTGTTGGAGTGGGAAGTGTGCCAGTGTGGGGGTGGGCGTTGAGATTTCCTATGCTCGGAATACCACCCAGTGAGTCAGTCGAATTCCTGTTGCCTGCAAGATGTAGGACTCACTATGTCGGCCTGCATGCCGCCATGCTCCCTGCCATGATGATAATGGACGGAACCCCTGAAACTATAAGCAACCCCCCTCCTCCCGCCCATTAAATGTTTCCTTTGTTAAGAGTTGTCATGGTCATGGTGTCTCTTCATAACAATAAAAACCTTAACTAAGATATTTCCATTGCAGGCCCTGTGTAGGACCACTTCATCAATGTCCTCTGGGGGTCATGTGACCACCACACATCACCCCCACGCTCACATGCAATGGCCATGCTGATGTCCACACACACTTTTACACACCCACTCACACAGGATCACTCATACCCCCACATCCACACAAACATGACACAATTCTACTCACATATATACCCACATCCAAACATGCATTTGCGACATGCTGTCACACACAGGCACACAATGACACACTCAGCTTGCCTGCACATGGATACACTTGCTTATGTACATCCACATACTTGAACATATAGAATCACCCTCCCTCACCCACAAGCCCACACATGCCCACACACACACATGCTCACACACATGCCCCTGAGGCAAATTCCTGGAGGAACTTAGCAACCTCTGACCCCTCTTCAGCTCCCCAGGCAGCTCCATGGAGCTTCGTGAAAATAAAGAAACTGGAGACAATGACCTGTCTGCTCAATGGAAAACTATCATTATTGTTACTCCATGTCTGAGCAAGCAGAGGCTGGGCAGGGTGGGAAGATGCTGTGGGAACGGAAGCAGCTTCTGGTGTCCGTCTCTCTTGAAGGAATAGTCAGTCACCCACATCAAAAGGAGGCGTGTGTGTCTCTTCCCCAATTGCTGCTTACAGGGAAGGTGGCCATGAGGCTTAGCAAGACAGGTGGATTCAGTAAGGCTCGCTGTGGCTGTAAGGTGGATGCCTGTTGTCACTGACCTATTCCTTCCTTGTGAGAGTGGTTACCATGGCTCCCAACACACCGACAGCTCACAGGTGCCACATGCTTCTCACCCCAGACCCCAAGCCAAATGCAATCCTCACTAAGGTCCCCCAGACCCTTGGGGTCCTTTCTCAGCCAGCTGCAACCCCAAGAGAGTGTACTTCTAGAAGCCTCTCTCTGAGCCTCTCTCTGAGACACACTGTTTACATGCTGAGCCTACCCTCTGGATTTCCAGGAAGAATCTCACTCTCTTCTCTTCCCCAAAATATGCGATCCTCCCTCTTGGCTTATCTTTTATTTTTCTGTTCCTGAAAAATATTTTGCTCCCATAGGAAAAGTCATGTGGGGGCATGGTCTCTGGGCAGGGCGATGCATATGTGGGCCAGGGCAGGCTGCCTGCAGCCAAGGGGGACATCAGTGACTGGCAGGGAGCCACCCCTGTTTCTAGACCTTCTTTTTATGTAAAGATGTTGAAAATCTAGATTTGTCCTGCTGTCTCTGATTCTTTATATTTTTAAATTATCATTATTATTATTATTATTTTCTGAGATAGGGTCCTATGTAGTCTGGACTAGCCTTGAATTCCTGTATAGTCAAGGTTGGAACTTCAGAACTTCTGAAACTCTTGCCCCTAGCTCTCAACTGTTGGGATTACAGACTTCAGTCACCACACCTATCAATACCTCTGATTTTTTATTTATTTGGGTTTTTTTTGAAACAGGGTTTCTCTATATAGGACCCTGACTGTGCTGGAACTTTCTCTGTAATCTAGGCTGGCCTTAAACTCAGTCAGGCCTGGCACCTGCTTCTGCCTCCTGAGTGCTGGGATTAAAAGTGTGTATCACCATTTCCTGGCTATGAATTTTTTTTAATTTATTTTGCTGAGGGGTGTGTGTGCATGTGTGTATGTGTGTACATGTGTGTGTGTGTGCGTGTGCATGCATGTGTGTGTGCGTGCATGTGTGTGCATGCGCGTGTGTGTGTGTGTGTGTGTGTGTGTGTGTGTGTGTACAGGTGCACTTGCCCATGGCAGATATCTTCCTTCATTGCTCTTCACCTTATGTTTTGGGGCAGGGTCTCTCACTAAGGTAGGCTGGTGTGGTGGCCAGTGAGCCCCAGGGATCTTCCTGTCTGTCACTCACCCCAATCCCAGTTGTGGGGGTTTCAGGCAGGAGCCACTATGCCTAGCTTTTATGTTAATATTGAGATCCAAACCCAGGTCCTCATGCTGCAGGGCAGGCACTTCCCCCACTGAGCCATCTCTCTGTGGCCACGGTCTGTAATTGTTAAATAGTAGCAAGCAATTTAGAAGGAGCAGAAACAGAACGCTGCTTGTGAAATGGGACAGAGCGAGTGTAGTGGCATTTCATTTGTATCTTAATAAATAAAGCCTGCCTGAAGACCAGAGAGTAAAACAGCCCCCCTGGTCAGCCTTATAGACCAGACAGTGGTGGTACACACCTTTAATCCCAGTAGCCACATTAGTTTGCCATAGAAACCAGGCTATGCAAGCCTTTAATCCCAGAACTAGAGAGGATTATAAGAAGGGAGGAGACAGCTCTCAGTCTCAGTCTCATTCTGAGATTCCTGGAGGCAGGATGGCCATTTCGGACTGAGGTAGAGATAAGAGCCAGTGGCTGGCTGTTTTGCCTTTCTGGTCTTTAAGTTGAACATCAATTACTGTCCCTGAGTTTTGACTAGTCGTGCTACAAGTGAGCCTGCCAGATCAGCCTGCAGCTTCCATGACATGCCCTGAGTGTCCATTTCTTGAGTGGCATCCTTCTACTCGCCTAGAGAGCCTCAGACAATAGCCATGTTCTGACACAACAGAGCAAGCCCACTGGCCCTCGGCCACACATTAGCAGACGCTCTGGGACCACAGCCTATACGCTGCATTTTTACCTTCCTTTCTCTCCTGTCCTGGAAGACAGCACAAGGTAGATGTGATTCATTACAGAACTTCTCTCAGGCAGCCAGGAAACAATCTGGTTCCGCACACAGTAACAAACCCTGGTGAACACCAGACTTCCCCTCCCTTAGGGGCCTGGGTTTGATCCTGCACTTGGGCAGGGGTTCATTCAAAGTTAGATGTACTTAAATATGTAAAAAATAAGCAAGCCTTCGTATATAAAAAGCCACCACAAATCAATAAGAAACAGCCCAACAATCATAAAGGGAAGTAAACAAATGAGATGAAATTGACAGCTATCAGAAAAGACTGTCAAAGCTGCTTTTAAACATGTGAAAAGATGTTCAGCCTCATACTTTATAGAAGAATTATGCATGTAAAATGGCCAGAATCCAAACGTATGGGGCAGGGTTATGTGCTGGGGGGGGGCGGGAATAAATGTATCTGGCAAGCTAGAAAGTCAATACGCTCATCTCTACCAACCTTTAAACTGCCCTCGTGGTGTGGGGCTGTCGATTCAGCTTCTCAAAAGGCAGGAAGACCGCAAATTCAAGGGCAGCAACTTAGCAATCCTTTGTCTCAAAATCAGAAGTAAGCACAGGCCAGGATGTTGTTCTCAGTTCAATGGCCAGGGCCTACCACCACCACACAGATAATCCCTCTCCGCTGGCAAATCCAGCTGAAGAATTGCACCCTTCCTGCACCTTCAAAGAGCAGGCAAAGTGTAAAGATACCCAAGGCGGTGTCACCTAAAACAGTGAGCACTAAAAAACAAAACAGAGTCTCAAGAGTGAGTGCTCAGCCATCGAGGTGACATCTGTACCAGTCCTGCCCTCCACAGGGCTCAGGAAACACTGGGGGGTGAAACAAAAGCCAGAGGAGCGGGGGGGGGGGGGGGGGGGGGGG